GTTTCGAGAAAAATTGTCAAGTGCAGTTGTATTTGTTCTCACAAGCAGGCCTCAGTTCAGTCGTGGTGTGAGTGCCACCATTGGGTCACCTCATTTCAGTGCAAATTAAAAAAACTTCAAGCAACAAAGTTTGAAAGAACATTGTCGTTGTTCCGGAGCATGTGAACATTGATTCATAAATAAACCAGGCATGGGCGAATAGTTGAGCATTTTAAGCATTTGAATGAATATTATGGAACTTTAATTAGATTGATACAATTTTACATAATTACAAATTTTGAATTCAAATGAACTGATAGACATATATCTTGACTTCATGTAAAACTCCCCCCCCCCCCTTGCTTGCAGAGGTGGTTTTGCTGCAGTGTGAGACTGCTATGCTGTGAGGTTACCTAATCTAACGATCGTGCTGACTTGAACTGATTAAATGTACCAATTACCTGGACCTCGTATAATGTTTATACCGAAACGTATAAATTTTAAACGTAACGCATTTGACCACATATCATTTATATCCTTCTGCTATGACCTGGTGCTCCCACGTTGCTTCGAATAATAAAAAGAAGTGGTATTCGCACAACTCTTGCTGCAATTCTTAAAACGATATTGTCCAAATAAGTTGGGTCACAGCAAAACTGCCTATTTTTTTACAGTTTGTTATATACTGTTCGAACTATTTGATTTGAAATGATTCAACCGAATTTCGCTTCGAATCCACTTCCAACGTCAAATTTACTATTCGCCCATTCCTAAATTATACACCCGGTGTACAAAGTCGTGTTGTAGAGAGCAGGAATGGTTGTGTGGGAGAGTGCCTCATAGCTTTCGTAGCTCCTTGTGTTTATGCCCACTCCCTTGTGAAAAAAAAAAAGGAACGAGCAAACGAACGAACAGACAAACAAGGAAGCGATCAACAACAATAGAGTTCCGACAAGAGTGACGGAGGCACCAGTCATGAGGAAGTAACAACGGAAAAAAAAAGTGAGGCACCATGCGAACCAAGAGTCACTGGATTGTCTTGGAGCATCATAGCGGCCAACATTCTAGGGGCTCCACCGCTATTTTGGCTCCGGCTGTTGCCAACAGTAGAGGCCATTTTGGTTCCAAACGTAAGACGTTTACAGTGATGTCGTTCGCCACCTTCGGCTGAAGTGGCGCCTGAACCATGCGAGTGAAGACTACAGCTTGTCAAGTTTGCCTATCTTGTACACTCGCTATTGTCTTAAATTGGTGCACAACATATTGTTCCTTGTTCATTTGCAAACTAAGGAAACGATCAGGCCAACTCGACCAATGAATTGGCTAGGATCAATATCAACGAGAAAATAGGGAAAATCCTGTACATCGTTGCGACACACATTTTTGTTCTGTTTTGTTACTTCACAGTTTCGTGCGCATATGGCGAGTGTATGTCGGCTTAGGCAGACTTCACTACCGCTATTTATGTTTCTATGGGCACTTGTTGCACGGCAGTGAAACCGCTCCCGTTTCGCAGCGCCGTCACAGGCGTATAGCGACGGTAGTAACGATACTCTGGCAACCATATCCAGTGACTCTACTCCATGCTTTGAGAACAGGGAGTGAAGAGTGACAGGCGATAAGAGATACGAGACACAAATAGGAACAATCACAGACACGCACACACACTGACGATGCAACAGTAGTCGTTCTCGGTCCTCAGCAGAGCACACATTCAGCTGCCTCTGGTTCCTGGTGAGGCCTCAGATTTAAAAAAAAAAACTAGAAAAACTTTACTGCTCAATGTAACAGAAAGCAACCTTAGTGACTTGAACTATTTCTAAAACTGTGGCAGGGTGAGTTCCGATAAAGTGATTGATATAGTTGCGATAGCAGATTTATCTGGGGTTACAGTTATGAGGTGTGAACGCCATTCCACAAGATATCTTTAAATATGATAAAGAGTTATTTCTGGCTATGAGAGCGTTTTTGTAATGCTGCGAACATGAGCTGTCATTAAATATGCTGCAGTGGTGCACTTCGCTGAGGAGCGAGAACCAATGGTACAGTTATAACAAATATTGCAACGCAGTGCGCCATTTTTGTGTGCGCAAGAGGCGAGAAATGGGGACACTCAATGGTTTCGGGGAGATGCATCTCAATGCGAGGAAGATGGGAATGAGAGGCGCCAGTCGAGATGCCGTCTCATGGCATTACCGTCTACACTTAGGATGCACAGACGATGTCGTGTGCAAGCAGGCGTCCGTTCCAAGTGCCCATGCAAATCGTTTAGCCTTTGAGAGGACCAGATGTGATACGCAATGCGGTAAAGGCGCACTTTCACTTGGCCGTCAGCGTTTGCGTTTAGAACAAGTGAAGTTCGATTCATGCGTCGTATATCATAGGGAAAAAAAATCAGGAATGATTCCGGATGAGCTTCGGTCAACGGATTCGAATGTTGTTACCTCAAATTACGCCTGCACAAGGTTGACATAACGTCTATAGTACTCGCTGTGGTGCTCAAGTATCGTTAAATTTATGATTCCACACAGTTTGCCTACTTTATCGAAATTACCGGAGTTTGCTTAATCTGCCATTTATGCTACGTTAACCTAATTCTGCGGAGCTGTCGATGCAGCAATAACAAGTTCCCCTATTTCTAGTCATTGGCGCTCACTTTTACGATACACAAGCGTTAGTCTAATGCGAGGTTAACATTTTACTATTTCTTTGGAAGGAAGACCGAGCCACCGAGGGCCTTCTTGAATTAGCGAAATGCTAGACACATAAACTACAAACGAAAAGTACCTCCAGGACCTTCTCCTGTGCCTTGGTGGTGGTGGTAGTGGTTAGAAGATGAGAAAAGGTACCTAATTTCTGCAACCCGGTCGGGAGCACGGCGCAGTGCCTGACTCTCCTGTGCCTTGCGTGCAGTGCGCCACATCTGGTACTCTCAAAAGTTCAGCTAGCGAGGAGTACTAGCTTTTCTGTTAGGCCAAGCATGAGTCAAACCGATTCCGAAAGTTCAGGAATGCAATGTCTTGCTTGCTTTTGTGATCGATGTAGTTATACACAAAGGAAGGTATTTTTAATTGTCAATGTTCGCATCGAAAGCGGCTTACGCCTCTCTTATCAATGACTCACGGCACGCTCAAATTTCGGTCAGCGCTGAAAATGGTCTACTTCATTTGCTGGAGACGCAGCTTCAATCCTATGCAATGGGATCTTGAAAGAAACTTCTGAAACATAACGCCACGTCGCAATTAGAACTGAAGATGTATTTTTATGTATTTCGCATTCCAACGCATCATTACCTGACGTACATTATTACATTAGCCACATATGAGAATACGTACTCTCATGCGCTGACAACGTTTCTCTCAAGAGTAGAATCATTTTCAGACTTGTTCATACCACGAAGTAGACACCATAATATTTTGTCCAGATGCCGGCTGACTCCGCGAGACCGTAATTTGATGGATTCATCAGAACTGAAGCTAAACCTTACGCGGCCATCTTCCACTTTTTGTCTATTTACCCAACTACGTCGAGCACTGTCGCAGTGCTTGCTTCCTTCGTGATCGGTTTTTGGCAAGTCTTTCGGAAGCGGTTGGACCGTGAGCAAAGAGAGAAAAGCGGGTGTTACGAAGCGCATGTTGGGATGGGCCTAGCTCGAAGCATGCCGAGAGCCCTTTTTCGGCCGAAGCCGTACCGATAACGACGAGTCTCGAGCTTTGGTCGGCGCCGCTTACTGCGTTGCTTTAGGCGCGACCACGAAGCTGAGTTTTACTCAGAGTCTAAAAGTGACGCCGGCTTCGGCCGTACTTGGCGGGCAGTAAACCGTATGGCTAGATGCGCTGCTCGTTCCCCCCGGTGGCTGCAGTGGGTCACTGAACGTGCTCAAAGCCGGTGCGCATGCACTCGTGGATTCCGCTCAACGCTGTTGTCCGTCTACCGGGCAAAAACAGCGTTGGCGGGGCAGCGACATAGTTCCTTGAACAATGTGACTGGAGAGATTAGATTGTAGCATAACAATGGACGGGACAATGAGCCTGAGACGGGTCTTTTGTTGAGTTACGAAGAAGCGTTCTTTTCCACGAGAAACAAAGAGGCTGAAGGACATTATTTCTCTGAACGTTATTACCGCCAACAAAGAATTAAGCCAGCTATAAATAAAGTCATGCGCTTATGCAGTCAGTCACGTCTGAGCTCTAAACATTTATCTAAATGTCACGACCTATTCTTTGAATATAAAGCGATTTCTTCATTGCGGTAACGCGTTCGATTGGCGCCGCAGCGACCTCACTCTGACCAGCTTCCAATGGCAGTAAGAAAACACACTTCCCTTCAAAGAGGGCGTTACAAAGTGACTTTAGTGCGTTTGTGCAAACAGAAAAAGCACATATTTAACTTTTAGCTTAGAGTGCGCTGCTCAGCCAAGACCTCGAGGACCGACTGTGGATCGTCCAGCGGGTCGAGGCAGCCGCCAGAGCTCAAGGGCTCGTGGCCGACACCCAGGCGAGGATATTTGCCCAGGTTCCTGAATAACTCGCCGGACTTTCCTTTTTAACAAAGTAGCGTCTCTCTCTTTTTCTCTCGAATGAAAATCAACAAGCAAAATAGTAGTGAAGTAGCAAGACATTCTTTTTGTTCTCAGAAAAAAAAATACGTACCCTGCACTCGTTGTACACGATTTCAAATTCCTTTTCTTGTGATGTCTGTCTCGCTCTCTCTTGAAATAAGAAAATGACTAACAGCAGCAAGTGAAACTCTGTTTTTTTTTTTAATTGGGAAGCTGATTCATGCCCTAGCCAAGTTCTAACCGCGTCACACGCCAGCAAATTTTTAGTAGGAATAGTTAGATTACTCGCTTTTTCTTTTATACGCGCAAACAGCGAACTGGCGAGATGAATACCGATGCGTTCGCTCGCTCGCAGTTGCGTGCGCAGCGTTCAGAGACCCACGGCATGCGGCCACAACGGGGAAGAAGCGGCGGCTGGGAGGACGAAGCGGCAAGAGGAGAGCGGCGCCACGGGACTCACATGCGGCATGAGGTGATCCGTGCTGCCCACACGCGTCACCTTGTTGCGATTGAGGAGCTTCTTGAGCATCTTCTCCACTTTCTCGTTGAACTTCATGAAGGTCACGTAGGAGGCGTAGCAGGAGAGCAGCACCAGGGCCTCCCACCAGTAGATGACGCTGTCGCGGAAGAAGTGCATCAGGATGATGAGGATCACCGAGTAGAAGCTCACGTCCCGGAACAGCGGCCACCACGTGAGCTGGAGCACCGACTTGGAGAAGATGGCGCACATGGAGATGACGAAGAGGATGTTGAACACGGCCGAGCCCACGATGGTGCCGATGCCGACGTCGTCGAACGAGATGAACACCCCGATCACGCTCGTGAAGAGCTCGGGCGCCGAGCCGCCGGCGGCCATGAACGTGGCGCCGGCCACGTCCTCCGAGATGTCCAGCTTGACGGTGATCACGTCCAGCGCCGGTATGAAGAACTCGTCGCACACGATGGCCAGCGCGACGAACATGTACACCATGCCCATCACGTGCAGGATGACGGCGCCCCGACGCCGCTGATCGGGGGTGAACAGGTCCTCGGGAAACTGGGCCCGTTTCACGGTTTCGTTGTTTGCACTCTCGTTGTTATTCACACTGTTCAGCAGGGCCCGAGAGCTCCACGACGGCCCGCCCGTGTGTTCCAGCTGCGCAAAATGGGGGCATGTCAGCGAAGGTTTGACGCTTACAAATGGCTTTTTGTAGCTTTAACTGTAATATGGTAATAAGGGCATAAATATAAGTAAATTCAAGCGGACAACATGTGGATGGTGGGCACTGAGCCTACAACCTTCGGATAATGCGTCCAATGCTCTAACGATTGAGCTACGATCACGTTTCTTTTCCTATCCACTTTATTGCATATTTCTGCACATGTAACCCAGAAGTGTGTGCTCTGAAGTCTTTCACTCTGACGTGGCAACTGTAATGTGTAGTATTGACAGCATTCCCAGGCAGGCTTGCCACTCGGTGGAATTGCAGAGACGCCAGAACTGAAGCCAAACCTAGCCAATGTAGCAATGTCATTTAATATTATCGCCAAATTTCTAGCCAAATAGAACAAGAGTGGTATTATGAATAGTGTTTTTTTTTACTATCGATGAACAAGTAAAACCATTTTCAATAAGTAAAACAAGAAATTTTAATGTAGCCAGTAAATAGTCGTGGCGCGAACTGGAAATTTTTGTCGCCAAACGGGTCTAAATGTAGTCAATTTGGTGCAAAGTCGCCATCAATAGTAACCATGTACCAACGTTTACATGCACAGAAATATCTATTAAAGTGGACAGGACGACAACTGCCGCTGTGACTCAATGGGAGGTGTTACGCCAAGATAGTACGTTAAGTCCCTACTACTACTAACTACGAGTAGTAGTAGTAGTAGTAATAGTATCACTGTACTAGAAGTGCTATTGACGTATGCATGTGGGAGGTAGTGGCCAGATACTGCACCAGGGTGGCCAATCTTTCTCTGGTGAGGGTGTGCGTTCCCGGCGGTGGTTACCGGTGAGGCCGCACCCCAGGCCTCTTAATGCAATTCTATAACCACGCGGTTTTTTTTATCTGGTTGGGAACTGCGCGGCACCGGGATTTGAGCCACGGACCTTTTGCATGCGAGGCGGATGCTCTAACCACTACGCCATCACTGCATCACGCCAGCACGCAATGCTATTTACCGCGTGCTTACATGAGGTATTCCGAAGCCTAGAATGGGAACTGTTAGGGATAAGAGGTAATGGAGTGTACCTTAGTAACCTGCGCTTCGCCGATGACATTGCATTGCTGAGTAACTCAGGGAAGGAATTGCAACTCATGATTACGGAGTTAGACAAGGAGAGCAGAAAAGTGGGTCTTAAAATTAATTTGCAGAAAACGAAAGTAATGTACAACAACCTCGGAAAAGAGCAGCACTTCGAGATAGGTAATAGTGAACTTCAAGTTGTAAAGGACTATGTCTACTTAGGGCAGGTAATAATTGTGGAGCCAAACCACAAGATTGAAGTAACTAGAAGAATAAGAATGGGGTGGAGCACATTCGGCAAGCACTCTCAAATGATGACAGGTAGATTGCCACAATCCCTCAAGAGAAAGGTATATAACAGCTGTATGTTACCGGTACTTAGCTACGGAGCAGAAACCTAGAGACTTACAAAGAGGGTTCAGCTTAATTTGAGGACGACGCAGCGAGCAATGGAAAGAAAAAAGGTAGGCGTAACCTTAAGAGACAAGAAGAGAGCAGAGTGGATTAGGGGACAAACGGGGGTTAAGGATATCATAGCTGAAATCAAGAAGAGGAAATGGACATGGGCCGGGCATGTAGCGCGTAGACAGGATAACCACTGGTCATTAAGGGTAACTCACTGGATTCCCGGAGAAGGCAAGCGAGTTTGGGGGAGACAGAAGGTTAAGTGGGCAGATGAGATTAAGAAGTTTACGGGTATAAATTGCATGGCAGCAGCAAGCCCAGGACCGAGTTAACTGGCGGAACATGGGAGAGGCCTTTGTCCTGCAGTGGACGTAGTCAGGCTGATGATGATGATGATGATGATGATGATGATGATGATGATGATGATGATGATGATGATGATGGTGGTGATGATGATGATGACTAGTAGTGCTCCGCCACGGTGGTCTAGTGGCTAAGGTACTTGGCTGCTGACTCGCAGGTTGCGGGATCTAATCCCGGCTGCGGCAGTTGCATTTTCGGTGGAGGCGAAAACACTGTAGGCCCATGTGCTCAGATGGGCCTACAGCGGTAAGTGGTAGATGTAAATAGCTTGCCGTCTGAGCGTTGAAAGAGGTACCTCTCAATGGCTCAGTGGTTAACACCTCGCATACAAGACGCGGAGTTCCCACATTCGATTTCGCGCCTTTTTTCTTGGATTTCTTTCGTTCTTGCGTTTTCATTAATATAGATACGTGTACATATACGGAGCACGACGCCGACACCGGCCGTGGAATTCAGCCGAGAGTGTCCACATAATTGCTATCGCAATAAAAATGAACAATCATACGACGGGCGACACTGCTTACAGCCAGTCCCTAAGGGCAGTTGCCCGCAAAAAGCGCGACAACTCTTTCAGTATGCTGGCTTCGTCTCTATACGAAGTATAGTGGGTAGGTCTGCACGAACCTCTCAGATGTGTGAACGCGCGTACGGTGTGTTGCGACTTACGTTCGCTTGAAAACGGGCGCAGGAATCCCCCGTGCATGGTTTATTTCAGCACTTGCTGAAAATTCATTAATTGTTGGAATGGAGCTATGTTTCGATGTTACTAAACGTCGGCAACGTTATATTTCTTAACTTTTTTCATGCGTGTTGGAGATCTTGGAATTTTGTAAGAAAACAGGCTATATGGGGAGGGTCGTCTACATTGTTCGCTCAGAGGGCCAGGAGTATCCCATATTAGAAATGTATCGAAATGGACATGTCCCACTTGGAACAAATGTTTAATTGATTTATTTATTTGTTTATTTATTTCCGTCCCAAACCCACCATATGATTATGAGAGACGCCGTAGTGGAGGGCTCCGGAAATTTCGACCACCCGGGGTTCGGTATTATGCACCCAAATCTGAGCACACGGGCTTCCAGCATTTTCGCCTGGAACAAATGTTTGGATTCTTTAATAAATAAAACGAAAAAATGGCTCTTTGTGGTTCAATAAAAGGTAAAACAAATTCGTGCACTATTCCTACACACCATACTTCCAGACCGGCACTCTTAAGTCGCAGGAATAGCCTTTTCGCAGCAGTTTTTACACTGCACCTATTTAATTTAACGTTTTTTTGCTCTAGCTGTCCTTTACCATCGCCTGTATCGTTCGGGCTCACGTTGTTAGCCATTGTTGCCAGGTCTGATACAATCTACAGAGCACTAATCATATCAATTCTCATTGCTTCACACGCTCAGCCCTGGTACTGAGGGTGTACGGGTGTGTTATACGTTCCGGCTTGCTTTTCGCGACCTAAATAGATTTCTTTTGTCCGTCTCAAGAGCGCCGTTCGGTTTGGCTATATGGGCTGTTGTTCTCCTGGGTCTCGCTGATTAGCTTCGTCTCAAAATGGCACCACCATAATCACGGCAGAGCCATGTTTCAGCCTGGATAACACAGAATTTATCCCCCTCCACAATGGTCGAAATGGGCGAAGAGCTTTGCTTGCGAATATCTGTGTGTGTGTTTTTTTGTCTTTTTTTTCTGAATCTGCCTTTTTATGCGGTGCTATTGCCAAACTGCTGCATCTCTTTCTTTTTCTCTCTATTTTTTTCTTCAGACGATACATAAGAAAGCGTATAGCTGTGCCGAAATCGTGCTCTGCAGACTCACTGCCTGATGAACATAAAATACAATACGCGTCCGCGCTAATGAACATCGTGCGACAAGATTTTTGTTACATGAACAGTGGAGAAATGAAGCACAAAACTTGACCGACCATTTCGACAAAGAGAGCTGACTTTTAAATGTTTTGTTATGCTCCCTAGTAAACCCTCTACAAATATGCCCTCCATCATATGAGACTTCGCCCACTATTTTTTAATCCAATTGCGATCTTCGGACGCATCTCCCTTGCTTAATGCTTTCGCATGGTAAGTGAAAAGCCCTGAGTGATCATGAATTTGCTTCAGGCCGTCTAAACTCCTCGGACCCGTGATGTTCACTCTCTTCTTTCTGCTCTCCTACTTTTTTTAACCGTGGTAGAGTCGCAAATTGCAATAAGATCCATTTATTCTCTATCTATCTATCTATCTATCTATCTATCTATCTATCTATCTATCTATCTATCTATCTATCTATCTATCTATCTATCTATCTATCTATCTATCTATCTATCTATCCATCTATCTATCTATCTATCTATCTTTCATATCTATCTATCTATCTTTCATACCTATCTATCTATCTATCTATCTATCTATCCGTCTATCCGTCTGTCTGTCTGTCTGTCTGTCTATCTATCTATCTATCTATGTATCTATCTATTCATCTATCTATCTATCCATCTATCTATCTATCCATCTATCCATCTATCTATCCATCTATTCATCTATCTATCCATCCATCCATCTATCCATCTATCCATCTATCTATCCATCTATCTATCTATCCATCTATCTATCCACCTATCTATCTATCTATCTATCTATCTATCTATCTATCTATCTATCTATCTATCTATCTATGTATCTATCTATCTATGTATCTATCTATCTATCTATCTATCTATCTATCCATCTATCCATCTATCTATCCATATATCCATCTATCCATCTATCCATCTATCTATCTATCTATCTATCTATCTATCTATCTATCTATCTATCTATCTATCTATCTATCTATCTATCTATCTATCTATCTATCGAGGGAGATCCACAAACACTCACGCCTTCGCCGTGCCGTGGAGTGGCGCAGCCGGTCAGAGGCGGTGGTGTCTGTAGGTAGCCGAGTCCTCCGAAGACGATGATGGCCGACAGGAAGACAAGCCGCGGGTCCCGCCACCGGCGCCGGCGCACGCAGGGGGAGCCCAGCAGCGGGATTCGTTGCTGGTGGGAGGAGTGGGTGCCCATGGCTTCAGGGCCGACGGTCAGGCAGTGGTGGGACGCCCGATGCACGGCAGCGCGTCGGCCCTCGCGGGGCCCGGACCGAAGGCGCGCGGCCTCTTGGCCATCCACGACCGGGCCCACGTCATCTGCGAATGGTCAGCAACGAGAGAGTGTGTGCTCGTCAAGGTGGTCTTTCGTGGGTATTCTAGCCACTCGTTTAGAAATGTTACATCAACGGTGGTCGTGAAGCACAAAAAAAAAAAAAAACTCCCAAGCATTTCCCCGAGGGTGAACATGGTTAAGTGCGAATACACGGGGTGATGCTATGAGGGGTATTTATTAATTCGCACTATTATATTTATTAATCACACTATGGTGCCTTTATGGTGTAATGGTTCCTGGGAATCGCAATTTGATCACACGGGGGAGTTTACGTTAACTCACTGGCGAATGCCAACGGATTTTAACTTTACTGCCCCCTCACGACCCGCTCTCGACGGGAGACTGAGAGAGAATGCGGGCGCGCGAGAGAGAGGGGTGCGCGCGCAGCTGCAGCGAGCGAGGAGAGCGGAGGAGCGAGCGAAGGGGGAGGGGGTATAAGGCGCGTTACTGACACCGATATCAGCGTCGCGTCCGTCGCTTATTCGGTAGAGCGTCGCGCTGCGGCCCGCCAAGTCCTCTTTCTTTTAAAGATAGAGAGACGACTGCGGACGCCGCCGACGGCGGTGGATGGTTTGGGGTCGCTTATAAAGTGTATTCACACGTAAAAAATGCTTGACCGCATACTTAAGCGTACTTTTTCAACAAAACCATTTTTCCTCGCCTTTACAGACGGTATTATGTGTGACTACTTATTAGCCTCCGCATCTCTGTTATTTGTTTTCTGATTGATTGATATGTGTGGTTTAACGTCCCAAAACCACCATATCATTATGAGAGACGCCGTAGAAGGGAAATCCGGAAATGCTTGTTTTCTCCTTTCCTTTTTTCTCTCAGTCTTCCTTTTCTCATATCTTTATATTCCTCATCCTCTCCCTCTTCCTGTAGGAGGAGGCAGGCGTTTTTCCTTGTTTAGGTGTCAGCGGTTGTCCTGTTCCCTTCCTATTTCTCCGTGTCCCCGTGCTTTTTGTGCACGCAAACCAACTAATATAATTATAATAGTTACTAATATTATTTAGTATATTATTATTATTATTATTATTATTATTATTATTATTATTATTATTATTATTATTATTATTATTATTATTATTATTATTAATATTATTATATTATTATTATTATTATTATTATTATTATTATTATTATTATTATTATTATTATTATTATTATTATTATTATATTATTATTATTATTATTATTATTATTATTATTATTATTATTATTATTATAAATCATACGACAAAGAGACGTCAATAAGCAACTACACACGCTTTATCAGTTATTGACTCTCATAGACGTCCACCTGGCATTTGCGCTTAACTTCGGCCGTACGACGCATCCTTCTCCTTCACGATCAAGTAGACGTTACAAGCAGTTCTGTGCCTTCTAAAGGAGAGAACAAATCTTGTCATTCGTAGATTAAAAAAAAAAGGAAGTCTCCATTTCTATCTCGCTTCAGATTTAGTCAGCTACTTGTATATAATTCTCCTGTGTATTTCTTTTTCATGCGATTGGAATGAAATGAACCAGAATATTATTTGATAGACGTTCTACTTGATGATAACTTGAGTAAGACTGTCGTTTGATGAAAAGAAACAACAAGAATGATCGAATAACTGAATGGGAAATTCATCTGTGTATCTGCCAGACAGAAAGATCCATCACAATGTTTCAAAGATACCTGGCGATGGAAGCAACATGAACAGAAAAATAGCCATCCTCCTTCCGTTTCGTACACGAACATCTCTTGGTTTCAATATAGAAAAAAAAGAATCACCTCTTCTCAAGCGGCCCAGGCGTGCCGTGTATGGAACAGTAATAAATGTGCAAGTGTCCATTGTCCGTGATAAACGATGCAAATGCTGCGGCTGTAAATCAGCTCGCATCCCCGTCCACGCTATTTTATCGCGTTTCACAGCGTAGGCAACAAAGGCGCACTCGCCTCCAACGAGGCACCGCCATTTACTCCCGCTTCGGCTGCCTTTCGTTCGTTTGTTTATTCCTTCCTACGCCTACAGCTAGGCCTCGGGGGGAAGGGGGGGAGGGGGTGTCAGTCATTTAAGGCTATAGCCTTTCTGATTAGACTTTTAGACTTGCGTTGGGTCTTTTGCTCTAGTCTATACGGCTTTCTCTAACTTTATAACTTGCTTTTATGGTGGTATACAGCGAAGATTCAAGTCGAGCCACAGGAAGCCGCCGTGGAAGCCAAGTTCAAAGGAAGCTCATATTTTACGTCTTTGACCAACCCGACCACTGGAAATAACAACCTGGACACCGCAGAGACCGTGGTGTAGTCTATCTATTCGTAACTCTCTTTTTACCCCATGTAATTTTCCATCCACCCACTTCCTCGGCTTTTTTTTTTGTCTTTTTTTTTCTCCATGTTCCTCACCAGCTGTAAAGAGGAGATAGTGACTTCATACTCGCCTCACCCCTGGTCCAGTTGGTTTTCATGATTCGAAACAGTAGTTTTGTTTGTTCTTTTTTGTCTTGCAATTTGTGTGCGTGTGTGTGCGTGTGTGTGGGGGTGGGGGGGACGGGACGGGCTGCCATCTATTCCGTTGCCTTTGACGTATCGCTGCAGGTTTATTTCTTGAAATGCCGATCACGTGATTGTTTCGGCGAAATAGTCTCCACGATGAAAACCTGAGCTAATTTTTTTTTTCAATTTCCTCTTATGGCATCTAAACGCTTCGCAAGCTAGTTGTAAATGTGGTGGTGGATGAAAACAATTCGTTGCAAGGACTCACTTTTAGCGCGCTGCGTAAAGAACAATTGTAAAAGCCCAGGAATACTGCTCGATTGGAATATGTCTGGGATGCGCGTATTTCGTATGTTTGCTCAACCTACAGAAACGTTAAAGGGACACTAAAGAGAGGAGCGATTTTTCTCAGATCAGTATAGGTTACCCTTGTCACAATTCCGAAACCACCGCGCTTGCCACGGCAATACGCTTGATAAGCGAGAAACCACGCAAAAAAAAAAATCCTAATGGTGACGCCACCTCGATGTTCCTGAACCAAATGCCATGACGTCAGAGACTTCGATGGCATCTGCAGGGTTCGAAATAACTCTTAATCGGTAAATAGGAAGTGCAGTGTCTGCTGAGGGGTGCCTATACAAAAATATATCATGTTTCGGCAAATTTCATTGCACCGATGTGATGAAATTAAGGAAGACACACTTCGAAATCCCAAACCTCACAAGCTGTAATTTCAGCGCGAAATAATAAAAGTGAATTTCGACGTTGATTTGCTTCTCTATTATTGCACCCACGATGGTGCAATTGATGCCATTAGTGTTCTAATAGTACAAGTAATCAAGTTCAACAGGTTCATTGCTGCACTTCAGTGTCCACGTTTTAAGAATTCGTGGAACCATTGTTATTGGCTTGCTGAGAAAGAAGTCACAATTGACTGTATTGTGTGTTTGTTTTGTATAAACGCACAGTGTGTATGAGCAGGTTTCCATGTTCTTTTCAGTACGTTACCGTACTTATTGAATTGTGTTATTCCACTTAATGCTTTTTTACACATGCGTCCAATATCAAAATGCTTTTTGACGTGATCCTGTGCATTTCTTTCCTTTTTCGCTTTTTTTTCGTTTTCACTTGTAGTTTTTGCTTGTAGTTAGAAACAGAAGTGATGTACACCAATAAGCATACCAATATTTCCTGTTAACCATGTCGATATTAAGAGAAAAGAATAGTTAGGATGTGTGAGAAATCGAACAGACTTTCAAATATATGTTTAACATACAGAACGAATGCATACAGAACGTTGAGAGGTAACAGACCTATCTCTCTTTTCCTATCAAGTTATTGAAAAAAAAAAGCACCAAAGTAGTTCCAACGTGCTATCACATGGCTGCGTAAGTTCATTTTTCAAGCCTGTCTTGACAAGTCCTCTCATATTCGAATAAAAAGCAAACCAGATGCCGAGTTGTGAGTGATCGATCCTGGCTATAATCGACATTATCGACTTGATTATTCTGGCATCATTCAAATAGACTCTTTTCAAAGCATGACAAACAACTGCAGCGGGGAGGATTCAGAAAGTACTAAAAACGAAACAGCAGCTCGACGGTAACGAGTTCATAAATAAGTTTCTTCTGCCACAGTTTATAAGACAAGCCTATGTTTTCAGAACTAATTTGTGAAAGTGCTGTTTGCGCAATGATTAATAGCACCCCTTCCCCCCCATCGTTAAATATATAAACACCACGCTCAGGTCGGCCACTTTAATTATTCGTCGTCATCCACATTAAGCCTAGCCAATCGCACTATCCCATTCATCGAGTTTTGGGGTAGCACGATATAGCAATCTAACCAATCAATCGAAGTGACCTTGGTTTTATCTATGCGTGATACGTTTGCACGAGGCCAAAATCAATGAATTATGGAATGTCAGCTTTCGACATTTTATCTGTATTTGAGTCAACGCATTTTCTTTTCTTTTTATTATTTCTTTTTTGCTGAGGAGGGGCTGACACACTATGAGTCCCTTGTACGAGTTGCATAGGTTCAAGTCTAATGGGACGTAAAGTATTTGTGCAGAATTGACAACCTTATATGTGTTACGGCCCGTAAGCCTCGTCCATCTTATAAGTAAACAACTGTAGTTAACAGCATTTCCAAGCTAGCGTTTATGAGTAACGAAACAGCAAATAATGAATTAACGCATCTTCGCCGGAATTCCTAATCTGCGTGAAGGACGAATATAAACCAACAGTAAAAAACGCGAAATTCACAGAGCTTGACAACGCATACTAAAGCATTTAAACAGGCAAATATTATTCTGCAAAACATTGTTTCGCTTTGTACACAACACGGATCATACAACACTAATATAAGATGCGTATACACTGCACTACAGGGGCAAGCCTATATTGCAATAAAAAAGTTGAAGAAAATCTTTGTTCTCAAAAGTACCATGGTGTTTTCTTTGAAACAATCTAGCGCAAAGTTGCGAGGTTGTTTTTGAACCCTTTTAAAACTGCCAAATTATTTCGGTCTCCGATTGTGTCATTATTTCTCGCTATTTTGTACCCATGCTACAAGCATTCGCAGCGTCATCCCCGCCTATTTCCATTGATCACATACATCGCCTTGGCGAGAATCAGTGGCGAATTTTAATGGTGTTTCTGCTTTCCTGGTCTGCCGATGTCGGCCCTGTTATATCTTCCTAAGCTATGGCGGTACTAGTACTTCCTCCGTAATGAGACGCGAAAAAGAGGGCGCATATTACGCGGAAAGCGTCATTTAATCTGACGCGTCACACGCAAGGACGGTACCCATCGAACTCGTTAGTGTCGATTAAGTATCAATGTAACGAATTTTTTTTCGTCCAAACGAGCAGTAAAACAGCTGGTTCAGGCGCGCGAATGCAACTCAGCTTTCGTGACGCATTTGTTTCTCTTCTAACTTCCTGACGTTGTCCTTTCTTTTTTTTAATTTCGTATCTAAGGAACTTCAACGAGCTCACTGCGTCCACATCGCCTACAACGTTAATGTGTTCTCTATTTCTTTTTTTCTCGCTGTACAAACATTCGCACAGCAGGCGCGTGGTATTTACAGCACATTACGAGTGCCTGGGCAGGGGATAAAAGGAAAAAGTTTTTTTTATAAATATAGAGTGGGAGATGAAAAATTGTAGAGGTGCACTTTCGAATGACCTCCACTTTTTTATTTAACACTTTAAATGCGCATCTCCTATTCTTGTCCTAAACTGAAGCAGCAACAAAGGAGTGAATCCAAAATGCCTGACAGATTAGACAGGAGCCGGCACAGATGGTGCCTATGGCAACACGGCACGGGGTAAACAAAGTTTTCAGAAGGAGAAAGAAGTGCGCAATAAAAAAAAACACTCGGCTTGATACCCACCCGCCACCCCTTTTTCAGTCATTAGCGCTGTTTCTCGCGCTCGTGCACAGATTTCATTCGGTAGAACTACCGTTTAGATTAGAGAGGGCAGGAGAAATCGGTCTCTTGTTCAATTTCTTTCACTGCTTTCGCTCTTTCACATCAGCGTTCCCAGTTTCCAGAACCAGGCAAGCAAGCCAGGCGAGAACGAAACGACTTTTCTCGCGGTAGGATATAAAGGATACTGTAGGGAATAAAGGAAAGACGACGCAATGAGTCTCTTTTTTTTTTTTTTTTGCGCTCCACTAAAGCGAAGCGGCTTCGTACGTGTCTCTGAAGAAGCCATCGACTCGGCACTTTTTCGCCTATAACGACCGGCAAAAGAAGTCAGGAGCGGCAACGCCTGAATAGACGAGGTATAAGCAGAAGCAAGATCAGCGGATAGTCGGCTTAAGAACATTTGCGCTTTCAAGGGGTATAGACAAAAGGGCCCATGGTGCTCGCTTAAAAAGGGCAGCGTAAACGCACATTTGTTACATCGACGTTTACTACTACTATTCTTCAGGCTTTAGCGTGAATAAAGTGAGGAAAAAAGTCCCGGCGTACTGTTAACGCAGGAGTGTAATACGCGTGATAGTGTAATGCGAGTTCATGAAAAACCGGGAAAGAAAGGAAGGGTAACGGGGTTGTGTTAGAGGTGCGAAAGAAGAAAAAAAATGTTGATGTTTATAGCGGCAGCGCAAGCATCACGCGAAGCAATGATAAAAAATAAATTTAACGAGAATCGTACAGTTTTAAGGGACGTTGGGTGCCACCATCAGGCTTTTCTATTTTTTAGTGGATTATGTGAAAGCGATTGTGATGAAGCGGACAGTGATAGCTGTCCCATTTTTATTTTTTCGACGCAAAGAAAACAGTGAGCTAAAATGTTTGGCCCCGTAGTTTTGCGAAGAAAGAATATTTTACATACGAAAGTAGAATGAAAACAAAAAAGACGTATATTACCTACGTGACCAACCGCATGTCAGACTTAATTGTTCCCGTATTCTCTCCTTGAGAGTACGCCCATAAAAATAATAAAAATTATGTCTATTTGGTTGAAATTCGCCACATGCGTCGAATAAACACGGTAAAATTATTACAACATATCTCAGCGTTATCGCATTACTGTTATGGTCATCAGGCGCAGAAAGACAGACCGAGGAATAGAGCTATCATGTGACTGAAAAATCGTTGTGTCCCGTCTATCTGTTACAAAACTAAGTTCACGTATTTCCCACAAAGCATTAAAGTTGGAGCGAGAACATTTTTCTTCCAAAGCTCTACTTCGATCATGGTAATTAGTCAGTCACAACTAAGGTACCTAAATAGTACCCTTCTTTTACTTTCTTCTCTTTTTCCAAAGTTCTATTGGTTTTTATTTTTATTTGATTTACCCATTACATGTTGTCCCCACCCTCTTATGTAACACCCCTATAAACGGGGCCATTAAGGAAATAAACTGAACTGAACTGAACTGAATAGTAAGGCAGTTCGGTTCACGTTTAGTCGCAACAAGTATTTCTCTACCCCCCACCCCCCGCCTTTGTTTTTC